TTTCTCGCCCCGGAGCTCGCAGGCAGCAATCCGCCACCTCGACCTCCGGGGCGAGAAAGCCCCGTTCGTAAGTGCGGATCCGACATAAGTCGGATCCGCGTAAGTCGGAGACTGCCTGTATTTAAATCCCAGCTTCACTGACTATGTCGGGTAAACTAAGTTACATGGCTCCGTCGATGGAGCCACGTAGTCTAGCCATACCCTAGAAGGGTTACAGATTGTTGTAATAAGCCATAAACACCATGTCTTGGATATATCCATGAGTTTTGGTGTCTAGCAAAGTTATGAATTTAAGCTCCAAGGCTTTTCTTTTGAAAGTATTGTGCAAGTTTCCTTTGAAGATGAAGTCTGATGAGTCAGATATAGAAGACAAAAATAACCCAGGGTGAACACTCTTCACAAAACAATGACGCTGTACCTTTTCACCTCAAAGGAAACTTGCACAACATCTTCAAAAGACAACCCTGAGCATTTCATTCATAACTTTGCTAGACACTAGAAATTATAAACGTAATAAAGACATGGGATTTACAGTTTATTATAACAATCTGTAACCCACTAAACCTGTTTTAGTCCTATGACTGCAGAGCTATTAACTGGCACTTCATCTTGGTCTCTTACAATATGGGTAAACTATTCATGCTAAACAATCTGTTCCACCTTGAATATTAGTTATGACACTCTGATTACCTTTCCCAGACCTGAAGAAGAGCTCTGTGTGGCTCAAAAGTTTGTCTCTGTCACCAAGAGAAATTGGTCCAATAAAAGATACTACCTCACCCACCGTGCGTCTAAGGTAAAATGTAGAAAAGAAGCTAACTGTGACAGGTTTCAGCAAAACATTACTGCTTCATACGCAAGTTCAGCTGCTATGTCCATTCTACATGAAAAAAAAATTTTTTTTAACCACTGCACTAGTATCTTGGCCACTAAAATATGCATTACAAAATTGTGAGGCTAACAGTTTAACACTAATAGCACCAAATGCATCAAACCCATGGCTACTACTACAAATTATTTTGAAGCAAGATTTGCATGTTTTGCCATGAGTGGGTAGGTGGCATTTGACAATGGCTTTGGCACAGGGATCTTCATTAAAAGCAAAATGAAAAAGTCCAGCCTTGTTTGAATATTTTGTAATCACTGATTGATGATGATTGATGATTCAGTGTGAGTTATTTACAGCCAGTGGAGCTGTTGCACAGTGAAGGAAGATGAGTGAAAGACTAGATTACTAGCATTAGGATGTGTGTGCTTAGAAACTTGTCACAAGATTTGTGGTCATATTATTCCTGTGAAGTCATAAGGTGAAAATGACTGCAACACCCTCTGAAAAAGTAAGATTTGGCAATATATTTATCTTTACATTTTGAGAGAGAAGATTGGCCGTGGGCAACTACATTCAGTAAATCCTGCAGTTATATCCTGTTGAAAATTCTGTCCTTTCCCTCCTACACAATGAAGTTTCTGCTAATGGCCTTCAAATGATCACTAAGACTAATTATATAGCCAAAGCTTTATTTAATTTTACAGACAGCATTAAATCCTTCATTAAGAAACTCAAATCAAGAGTCCCTGGAGAAAAGCTTTGCAGGTGTTTCCTAATGTCTCAACGTGCTCACTCTAACAGCAAACATAAGACAAGACACTCTACCCTGCACTGTAATTTTTAGTTACCATGCAGCAAAGGCCCTCCTAGAAGCTTTCTCTGCAGTAACTCCCTCCCTATCACAAGGTTGCTGATAGCTTGGGGGAGGGAGGGATGGAAAACAGTTCTTACCTCTGTACAGGAAAAGCTCAGTGACACAGTCCAGTCAATAAGGGAGACGACCAATATCAGGATATAAGCCAGCAACCATTTGGTTTTCCGAAATTCTTCCCAACCAATTAAGTAACTCTTGAAGGCAAACAAAATGTAAACGGTTAAACCTTAACTAGTTTGAGTGGGACACAAACCCTTGAAGGCAAACAAAATGTAAACAACGGTTAAACCTTAACTAGTTTGAGTGGGACACAAACTGAAAAGGAAACTGACCCGAATACACTGTCAAAGGTGTTACTTTTAAGTCTTTTTTGGAAATATTTCCCATGGAATGTGGAAAAAAACCTTACACTGAATCCTAGAATTCTTCTACTAGCGGAGCTAAGTAACAGTCAACAGAAGTTGCAGATGTTCCTCACCTCTTTGAGTAGACCTATATATACACACAAACACACGGTAAATATCTGTGTAGTGATCAAAATGCTGATCCTTCTAAAATAGGAAGCATCTAAGGGTTCAAACTTCACAAATTAGTCTATGCATCTGAGGAAGCTGGATCATTTAGGGCTCAGTTCTACAAGTCTAACAAAAATAGCAAGAATATCTGGTCCTTAGCAAAACAATTATAATTTTATTTCCTGTCAGCATACAGAGGACTGAATATAAGGAAATAAGGTTATATTTCTTGGAAATGCATGATTCGTACCTCCCCAATGATGAAGTGTTTTTGCACTGTTTTTATATTTTATATATCAGTAGGAAGTTGCCTTTTTCCCAAAATTTAATATATAATCAAACAAGCCAAATTCCAAAGCTGATTAAACCTTTCAAATCACACCATGTCCCAAAATACAAAGGAGGAACGGACAGACCACATTAACCGTGTTTACCATAAATATGATAAACAAGCACACGTGCTTCTTAAATATTGTGCAGACCTCAACGTTGCTCACCTTCACAGAGACGTCAGCTATAAAGATGAAGAAACAAAGCAGCTCTATGCTTTCAGTCAGGCCACAAGGAGGCGCCCAGGCTGTGCCACGGTAACGTACATCCGACGTGATAGTGAGCGAAGAAGGGATTTCAATGAAAGCCAGAGCCAGAATCAGAGTAATGGTGAGACTCAAAACCCTGAAAAGGTAGGAAACATAAAAGACTAGAATAAAAGGCAGCAGATGCTGATCACAAATTTAAATAAGGTATCACAGTATCAATTTTTATAATGGTATTAAGCTTAATGCATATAGCAGGCACCGTATGAAAGTAGGGATTAGTTGACAATCCGATAAGCAAATGGTTATCTGATAGTCAACACAGTAGTCGACTAGTCACTTCCCCTGCCCCTGCTTGCTGCCTCTATCAGAAAGGGGGAAGTTAAAGGGGTACTTCAAAGCGGCAGAGCTGTGTGGAGCCTTTGAAACGCAGCCTGGGACTCCCCCACTGACCACAGTCTCCATGCGGCACTGCCGCTTTGAAGTGTCGCGGGGAGAAAGGAGCCAGCGGGGGACTGCTTGAGTCCCTTGATAGACCCATGCTCCCTGCAGCACTTTCGCCTTGATGTGTAGCAACAGCCCTTGAAAGGCAGAGGCACTCTTATTGATTAATTAAATAGTTGATGCAAAAATGCATCGACTATTCGATTAGCCAATTAGTCTAAATTTAACATCCCTACCTGAAAGCACTATATCACACTCCTAACCGTATTGGACTTTTTGTCTGCATTTAGAATTACAAGGCTGGCCTCAAACCAAAAACCACACTTGGAAAATGTTGCACTTTTAATGGCACCCACTGGAAAATAAATGAACTAAAAAACATACAGTTGCCGCTGCTTAAATAAATGTTATTAACAAATTCAAGTTTCAATAACTAGTGTGTGATCCTGCAACAGCTCCATGATTAGCCCCTTGGAATTCAACAAAGGTATCTGCAATAATAAGAGTTTACAATATTTACTACTGTCCAGTTTTGTCACATTCAGATTTATTCTTCAATTTGATTTGCTAGAAAAGTTTGTTTTGGAATACAGCAACAATTACTATATCAGCTAAGCAAACTAACAAAAAACAAAAACAAAAGCAAGAAGTCATTTCAGAACCCGCTCTGCTAAATCAAAGAGGAAGGAAAAAAAAAAAAAGCAGAAAACCAAGTTCTCACCACTGGCAAATTCTTGAATAATACCATCGATAAAGCCACAGGGATTGGGAATCCATTCGGTGATTTATGGAACGATACTGGAGGCAGGAGACAAAGCAAAGTATTTCAAATGTTGCATTTGGTCTCTACCTCAAATAGAGATATCAAGCTTTTTAAAATCTAAGATGCCTCAATTTCTGAGACACTTTCAGCCCTAAATTAATGGCAGGTGTAGACTTACCTGGAGATCGGTGCTGCAATAGATCAATCATCAGAGGTTGATTTAGCAGATCTAAATCAACCACCGATTGCTTTCTTGTCAACTCCAGTTCTCCACCGTAACAAGACGCATATGGGAAGTCAACGGAAGAATTTCTCCCATCAACCCCCCACAATGAAGACCCCATGGCTACTTGACCTAAGGTACAACAACTCCAGCTACACTATTCATGTACCTGGTGTTGCATATCTTCGGTTGACATTGCCCTGTAGTGTAGGCCTGCTCTAAGACATAGAGGATACTAAAAAAAGCATGAAGTCCACCTCTTAGTTTGCACACATGTGAATTAAAAGTAACATTGCAAAGAAATTGCTTTTATAAAGACCTTTTCACCCTAGGACCTCAAAACATCATAAATTATACCTCAACATCCATAGAAGGTAGGCATCATTATTGACATATATGGCTCAGTAAACTGAGGTATAGAGCGGCTAACTTACCTACATCTGGACAATATGTCAGTAACTGAGCAGGAAATAAAATTAGAGAGTCCTGATATCAGTCTCATGCTCTAGCCACTACACTCTCGTCTGATAATATCCAGTCATTTACCTCACTTATTTAGCAGGTCCTTAATCTAAGGCTGTTCAAAAACGCCTAAGTAAAGTAAATGTGGAATAAACTGATTCCGAAAACAACAGCTGGCCTCAATTTCAGCTCAAATCATCAAACACACTGGTTTAAAATTTAATTCAAGCAAGTACCAGCCACACCTCACAACAGGGTCACTTGCTCTTGCTGAAACCCACCTTAGCAGTTCACACTTCAGTAGTCCTAGTAGTTTCTCAGATGTGCACCTGCTCCTGGGAAAGCCCCAGAGTGCACTATATTTGAAGGCAGTAAAAGAATTCTAGACCTCAGGCCTCCCAACTAATATCACAGAGGTGACCAGGACTCAGAGAAATTGAAAGATGCTATACAGAGAAGAGGGAAAGAAAAAAGGACAAAAGGATATTTCAAGAGGTAGTAAACTCAGATAAATGTAGGGAAGTTTGTATGTACGTATCACACTGCTGACTCACATTTAGCTTGTGGTGCACTATGACCCTTAGATGCCATTTTTGCAGTATTCCTTCCTAGACAGTCACTCCCCATTCTGTATGTGTGAAACGGATTGTTCCTTCCTAAGTGAAGTATTTTGCATTTGTCCTTATTAAGCTTCATCCTGTTTACCTCAGATCATTTTTCCAGTTTGTCCTGATCATTTTGAATTAATACCCTATTCTCAAAAGCACTTGCAACCCTTCCCAGCTTGGCATCATCTGCAAACTTTATAGGCTGGGAGCTGACATCATCTGTAAACTACTGCTTGGATAACCATTCTCATGCAACCACCTTAGAGTAGCCCCATCTATTTTGAATTTCCCTAATTTACTGATAAAAAGGTCATGCAAGAGTGTATCTAATGCTTTACTAAGGCAAGGTATATCATGTCTACCACTTCCCCTTTATCTACAAGGCTTGTTATTCTATCAAAGAAAGCTATCAGATTGGTTTGACATGATTTGTTCTTGACAAAAACCTAAGTAAATGACTGTTAATTATCATCTTCTTATCTTCCAGTTGTTTGCAGATGGATTCCTTCATTATTTGCTCCTTTATCTTTCCTGGCACAGAAGTAAAGCTGACTGACCTGTGGTTTCATGTGTTGCCCTTATTTCCCTTTTTATAGATAGGCACTATATTGGCCCTTTTCCAGGCTTCTGGAATCTCTCCCATCTTCTATGATTTTCAAAGAGGATAGCTACTGGCTCAGATATCTCCTCAGCCAGTTCCTTGAGTATTCTAGGATACTGAAAGAATGTTCTGCTTAATCTCATCACTCCCAAGTGATATAAAAAACTAATAATTATAACTAAGGTTAAGATTTTGTCACGGATATTTTTAGGAAAAGCCATGGACAGGCCATGAGTAATAAAGAAAAATTAATAGAAGCCTTGACCCATCTGTGACTTTTCCTAAAAATATCTGTGACAAATGGGGATCTGCGAGTTCCCACACTGCTTGCAGCAGGGCAGCGGTGGTGCAGCTAGCAGCTCCTGGGGCCCCCTACATATGTTGAGTGTCAGAGCTCCAAGGTCTCCCACCACACATAACCGTGAACTGTGGAGGCCCCGCAACTTGCACGTAGCTAACTGGAGGTGGTGGGGTACTCCTGCTGTCCACTGCCCCTGGGGTCTCCACTATGACCTCCAGGACTAACTCATAGCCGTAATTATGACATTTGATAAATACACAGCACTATAGGAACAGTCAGAAAGAAACAAATTCTATTTACCTGTATTGCATCTTCAATAAATACTACAGCTTGGTTTATGTAAAGTTCATGGTCAGCTCCAGCAACTGTGAGGTTAAAAGAAACAGTGGTTATTTATGATACCTGGGCAAACCCCGCCACACTAATTATTACTTATGTTACCAACTAGGCATCCTCATCATAGCTCAAGACCCCAGTGTGTTAGATGTTGTGCAAAATACAGAATAAAAAGATCATCTGTACCCCCAAAGATTTTACAATCTAATTCGGGGTGGGCAATAAACCAGTAGTGGTTGGTCAGGGTTAGCCCTTGGTGGGTCATTGCCACTAAATTTACCTGTGCCTCTGCGGATACTGGAAATCACATCTCCCATTGGCCACAGAACATAATCTGGACAATGGGAGCTGTGGGGGAACTGGTGCCCCTATCTGTGCCTCTTCCCACCACTCTCGTTGGCTGGCAATGACAATCCGTGGCCAACGCAGCTGCCATCGCCTGTACTTACGGAGGCGCAGGTAAATATAGCAGTGGCAACCCGCCAGAGGCTAACCCTGGCAGACTGATCCGGCCTGCAGGACAGTATTTGCCCACCCCTGAAATAGAGGGATAGTGACTGAAAGCAGAGCACAAAAACAGTGAGATAAAAAAAGTCAGCAGAATATGCAGAGGCCTCAGCACACAAACTTGCTTACCATGGTCAAATTGTATCACGATTTTCAATGTGGATTATGAACAGATTAAGCTTCCTTTCCTACCTTATAAGCACTATTTGCACTGAGTGACTATGAAATAAAGACATCTACTTTGTTTTCACCATTTACTCAGTGCTTATTTATGCCTCTCTCTCAGACTCTGCAGTGAATCAATATATAATCAATTTCACTTTTCAGGCTCTCCTGCAGCCTGTTTGATTACAAGATTTACAGATCATTTGTTTCAAGGAACAGGAAGGAAGGAGAAGAGAAATCTTTCCTTATCAGAACGTAAAAAAGATAATATATAAAAATGAGCTTTTACAAAACCAAAGGCCAATGGAAATGTTTCTCAAACTTTAATTTGGAACAAAATGTGTCTGAATTGTACCTAAAATGGTTCATCTCATGCAAAGAACCATGCCTCTCAATTTAACTAGGCCTACATGTGAAATGCAAAGTGTGGCAGTGTGACAAAGTGAAGGTTACAAAAAATTATTAATTTGGGGAATTTAAAATGTTTTGTCAGTGTTAACAGTTCTTTAAAGTAAATAGCTCTTTCTATAAACTTTTCATTATTTGTTATTTCTGATGTAAACATTTTTAACAAAGGTGCATAAAATGTGTGTGGACCACTGGTAACTCCGGAGTCAAGGAACAATATCACTCAAAATGTAGTATAAAGTCAGAACTATGTAGGGCTGGAAGGTACACCATTTATATCCAGCCTCCTGAGCTGAGTCAGGACCAAGTATACTTACACCTTCCTTGTCAAGTGTTTGTCTAATCTATTCTGATGGGGATTCCACAACCTCCCTTAGAGCTCAACTACTCTTTTGGTTAGAAAGTTTTTCCTAGTATCTAACATAAATCTCCCATGATGCAGAGTAAGCCCATTACTTCTTGTCCAACCTTCAGTGGACATGGAGAACAAGTGATCCCGATTCTCCTTATAACACTCCTTAATCTATCTGTAAACTTATCAGGTCCCTCCCTCCCTTCATCTTCTTTTCTCTAGATATCCAGTTTTTTTTATTTTTCCTCCTACGTCAGACAGGACTTCTATTTTCAAGGTCTACTCAAAAGACACACACATCAAAGACTTCTCTACAAAGGGAAATTTACAGTAATTACTATTGTTAATTGTTTTTAATTACAAGTCCTGGAACACTGTGCTAAGCAATGTACAAACACAGAACATAATGGTATAGCTTTACCTCTATAGTTATAATTCTCTTTGTGGCCACTCTTACTCAGAGTAATAGTGACATTTTTTCAGTTTATCTGATGTTGCTAAATTACATTGATAATTGTATCATGCCAGTAAGTTGCCTCAGGTAAAAATGAAGCTCTGAGCAACTTACAGAGCACTTAGTAACCGAATTTGAGCATTTGATGCCCAGAAACTTACTATTTTGCACACAAAAATATCCCCTCCTATACAACAGGCTCCCAAAACAGTTAGCCAGAGAAAAGGAAAAATGAAAGAAATTCTGTTGGAGTGATTTCTAAGCAACTGACTCTTACCCAGTTGTTATCACAGCAGGCAAAAAGGACTGCATTTCCGGTCAGCAAAAATCAGAAATAAAGAAAATCAGAACAATATATTTAATAGAGTGTCAGCCAAATTCTTTTCTGGTAGCATACAAAATACGTCAGTTATCCAGATGTACCTTTTAATAAAGACAGAGCTTCAAAATTCTGCACCTGACTTGATCCCACTGAACTGGATGGAGCGGTGCCACAGAGTGAAATGAGAAAAGAATAGGGTCCTCCCTTTTCATATCAACCTGCAGCTATTGCTCTTATATACACCAGGACATGATCCAAAGCACAGGGAAAAGATAACAGTACATACATAATGAAGTAAAACAAAGCATCACTACATGATAGTTGTATTAGCATAACAATGTATAGGTCATCTAATCCAGTACCCTTTACCAAGGCAAGACCAAATATTCTCTAGACAGGTTAGACAAATGTTTGTCAGGGTTTGCTCTTGAAAACCTCCGATGATAGCGTTCCACGAGCTTCATAGGTGATGTGTTCTAATGCTTAACCACCCTAACAGTTAGGAGGGTTTTCCTAATGTCTAACCTAAGTTTCCCTTGATGCAATTGGAGACCATTATGGAATAATCAGTCCAAAATTCACTAACAGAGACTGTGATAAATTATATACTTCCACCTTCAGTTTGACTATATGCCTTTGGTACCAAGGAATCTTTGATTGCCCCAGTAATTAATGTAGTGAAGGGAACCAGAGACAGTCCATTATTGTGGGGGGGAGGAAAAGAGTCTCCCTCAGACAACAAATGATGACAGGGGCTCAGTGATGCATTTAATACATGCCAGTGACAGGCTCTAAAAAGCTTGATTTTGAAAAGAAAAGGGGCCAACTCCCCATGATGTTCCTCTAGCTGATAGAAATTCAGTACCAGAACCTCCAGCTTATCCCTGCAAGGCATGGCAATCAAAGAGGCTGACTAGGACATTATGAGAAAAAAAAAAAAGATCCCATAGCTAGTTGAGCTTTTCCCATATCTTTGGTTCAAAAGCATAACGCATCACTAAGCAACATTCACCACTGCATTGTATTCCCAGGTGACACTGATCTGAACAGTATTCAATTTCCTAAGAGATCAGGAAACAATTTAAAAATTTTACCGCATATCAGTGCGTAACGACAACATATTTTTTTAAATAGACCCTGACATCAACCATGAAGACAAACGCAACAGAGATTAAATTGGTTTTAAAAAAATACAGAGGCTTCTTTCAAACAGCAGAAAAGGCCTTTATTAGTCTTATCTTTATAAATCTTAGATTCCCCATTTCAGTGACCACAGAACCATAAAAGGCGAAGCGGCCTAAAGGAATAGTGTCAGGAACTGAGGAGAGAGTGTTGTATTTTTAAAAGCAACCCATGTGGACTTAATTTCTTTCCTATTGATTTCTGTAAGAGAAATGTCAAGGCAATCCTGAGCACCTTTGAAAATCCCACCCTTAGGTTTTATAGTAAAATATGTTTGCAGTTCTACTAAAGACAGATTGTGTGTGATTCTGTACTATCATGAATGTGCTACTCAAAGTCCTAGTTTACACCCAAAGTTATGTAGACATGGCTACAGTGCTCAGGGGCATGAAAAAAAAATCATATGCTATACTGCCATAGCTATGTCAGCCTAACACGAGTATAGGCATAGCTAGGTCAATGGAAGTCATTTGGAAAGATGAATTACATACAATGACAAAAAAAATCCTTCTATAGATATAGAAAGTTTCTACATAGTGCTACAGAGGCATATCTGTATCAATGCAACTATGTAGCCCCCACAGTGTAGACATGATTGCATCCAATTCTTCCATCCTTATATTAGCAGTATTTAACATGAGTAGTGACACAATGGTGGCATTCAGTTCAAGAGTGCTACTTAAGTCAACTCAAAAACTGAGCCTCTTACAAATAATTATATAAAGTGCCTACTACAAAAAGCTTGTCCTCTAAGACTGGGATTTTCAAAAGACTCATAAGGGAGTTAGGTGCTTGATTCCTACAGAAATGTGTTAGGTGTTATAGAGTTTAGCCATCCAACTCTTGTTGAATTTCAAATAAGAATTAAGCACCTGCCTGCTTCCCTTTGGCTTCTTTGAAAATCCCAAGCTAAAGGCAGCATGAAATTTAGCTTATACAATTTTCCACATGTCCCCTTCCCTTAACATAAAGCCCACTTAAGTAGTTTGCACCTCTTGTAAGAGAGAAGGGAAAAAAGCACTTAGCTCTTAACATAAAATAAACGTGAATGAAAACAGCATGATGCAGGAGTAGAATATTGAAAACAGCTTAAATCTCAAGTCATATTGCTTTATTTCACGCATTGTCCCCAGTCAGCTAGGCTCATCAAAAACAAGCATGTAAATAAATCAATGGCATAGTGAAGCTATGTGACAAATCAAATCCACATGCCTGTTATGTATATATACTCCGTCTATAGCAGTGGTGGGCAACCTGCAGCCTGAGGGCCACATGCAGCCCATTAGGGTTCTGCGTGTGACCTGTGAGACATTTTGTTCACTGTTGCCCACATGCAGGGTTGCCAGATTCCACTGATTTCTGCCTGTTTTTTCCTAAGAGTATTACTAAAGGGGAGTACAAAGCGAGGATACATGAAACGAGGTGCATGCTGATTGCACACAACATTGACTGTAAGAGTTGTTCATCCCATCAAAGCCTGCTACAGTTCAATCAGCACACCCCGCAAATTCTAGGTACGGAAGCTTAGTTAGCAAAACTACCCTATCCCAGGAGACCAATTTGGTTACAACAATCTTGTGGTCCACTGAGATGAAGGAGAACACTCATGCGGCCCACTCACTAGCCTAGGTTGCCCATCAGTGGTCTATAGCAGGATGTTAAATTTCAATTAACTGACTCAGAGTCCCCCACTGGCCCCAGGCTCCATGCAACATTTCCACTTTGAAATGTGCAAGAGCCCCAGCAGGAACTCTTGTACATTTCAAAGTTGGAACACTGTCACTGCGCCCTTGCCCCCTCCCACAGAGCTGGAGCTGAAGGGGGGAAACCAGCTTTTAAGATGGCTCCCCCCATCATTCCCTCCCATTCCCCTCCCCCTTTGCTGCCTCTTTCTGACATTTACTACATTTAAATGAAGAGTCACAAAGTGGGGAGGTCCCGGACCCGGCGCAAGCTGGGACTGAACCAGGCTTGCCCAGTCTGGGACTTACACCCACTGCCTGCACGTCTGGCTCCTACTACATTTAAACTGCAGAGCCACAGTGGGGGTAGTTCCTGGACCCAGTGTGAGCCGGGACTGAGCGCCTTTCCTTTTTGACTAATCGAGTAGTCAATACAAATTGTATCAACACGATGAACCAATTACCTGCCTCTTAACATCCTTAGTCCAGATGGGAAGCCACTTCAGTGCCCCTTATTCCACAATCAACTATTTCATTTCCTTCCCCATGCTGACTATTGCTCGTCTAGATTATGATTACAGGCATCACTCTTCAGTCTCTGTTCTACAGCTGCCACCCTAAAGTCACCAGGGCCTTGGTTCTGCAGGCACTAATCCATATGCTGTAGGCCCTGGAGTATATCCTCTGGACTGTACGTAAATGGCCTTGGCACTGCAATTGGGCTGATATAAGGGACCTTTTAAGTACCATGCTCTAGATGAGGGGTAGGCGACCTAGAGCTTGGGGGCTGAACCTGACATTTTTTGGTTTTTTTTTGGGGGGGGGTCTTCTCACTTTTATATGGTCCTCACCTGATTTTTTTCTCTGGGTCAGCAGCCCCCACCCAAAAACGGTTCCCCACCCTTGCTCTAGAGATGCTCCAGTTCAGTGTTTCTCAACCTTTTTTATAAAGTACCCCTTTTTCAAACCAAAAAAAATATAAGTACCCCCAGGACCTACGGTTTTCAGACATGCAATGGTAGAAAACAAAATTGTAACACATTTGTTTAAACAACTTAATCGCAGCTAGGCAAGCGATGAAATTAGTGGCTGTAAAAAAGTACAAAAATAACAAAGCGCTTGTAAAACTTACAACAACAATTCAGTTTTCTCCAAGTTTCAGTTGTGCTGACGTACCCCCCAGACTTCCCTCGAGTACCCCAAAGGGTACTGGTACCTCGGTTGAGAAACACTGCTCTAGGTGCCCCACACAGCGGGCGTGCCTAGGCTTTACGGGGCAAGCCCCACATCCCCGGGATCTCCGCGCTCCAGCGCATCCCTCTGCGGGGCACCAGCCGCAGGCTCCCCCCGCCCCCTCCCCCT